CAGTGTTTCAGAGTGTTTAGAATGACTTTCGTTCAAAAGAGGCGGTTTTGAATTTTATCCCATTGACATACCTAATGGGGAGGCCGGAAAATTGACCTGACCTTAGGCCACCGATATGAAAATTCAAAGAGGTACATTTTGTACATACTGTTGGCTTTATCAATCGCTGAAAATTTCAAAGCGATCGGTCACTCGGTGTAGCTATGGCGAACATTGAAACATTTTATGAGGTGACGTCACTTGAAGTGAACTGGTAACCTGACCTTGATTGACCTTGGTCTGAAATTTTCACAACATGTGAAGGATTGATGCATGATAAGGTGTGCCAAAAACGGCGGCGTATTCGTTTTTCATGAATATCTCGAATTCGAGATATTCTTGAAAAACCGGAGGGGGGGGGGTGTGCAAACACCGCCAGCAGGGCGCGGGCTAATCAGCAGTTCACTATAACCTTGAGAATGTTTTGTTTTGAAATATAATATCGGTCGAGACACGTTACCAAGCTACACCTGCGTCATACTGCATACGGCGTGCGCAATGAGCATTCCGCAATTCGTCCTGGTTCAAATCTGCTCATACTGTTAAAGCAAAAATAACCATTAACCCGCGCCCTGCTGGGGGGGGGGGGGGTGTTTGAACATCCCCCCCTTGTGGTTTTTCGCGAATATCTCAAAAACGGCGGCGCGGCGCCGTTTTTGGAACACCTTATCATACATCAATTCTACATATGTTGTGAAAATTTCAGACCAAGGTCATTCAAGGTCAGGTCACCAGGTCACTTGAAGTGACCTCACCTCATAAAAAGTTTCAATGTCTGTCATAGCTACACCAAGTGACCGATCGCTTTGAAACTTTCAGCCATTGCTAAGAGCAATAGCATGTATAAAATGTATATCTCAGAATTTTGATATCGATGACCTAAGGTCAGGTCAATTTTGCGACCTCCCCATTATAAGTCAATGGGAGAAAATTGAAATGCGCCTCTTTTGGACGAAAGACATTATAAACACTCCCAAACACCGAATTACAAGTGGTTTAGACACACTGAACATGAAAATGGTGTCCGTGACCCTTGTTGATGCCCTGAGGTCATCTTAGGTCACGAATGGTATCTAACAGTTTTTCGCAAATAACTTTTGATGGAGGCATGCCAGAGCGATGAAAACGCCTTAGATGTGTTCGACTCGACGATACGGATCGACTGATATGCAACATGACCCTTTCCGGTCAGGTCGTGACCTTGACCTGTGGTCAAATTTTCAAGTTGACCTCTCAAGGTCAAATTATAGTTCATACGATGCGTCTTGACGAGAGGAACACGATGCCGGTGAAAGTAAGCTCGTACAAGGCTTGGGTCAAAAGTTATTGCAGAAAAACTGTTTCCGAAAAAAATCGGTTATTTTTGCAGTTTTTGCCCCCTGCAGGCAAAACCGTTGACGTTAGGTCAAATCTGAGATAATTACTCAGAAAGGGCGTTAATAAGGCTATCGAATGCGCTTTTCCGCGGCGCTGTAGCTCTATTGGTTCCCGAGTTATGCGTTGGCTTCTTGGAAATTGTCGACATTCGACCTGGAAATCGGCGAAATTTTGCCTTCAATGACCTCTGGTGACCTGACCTTTGACCTGACCAAAAAATTTGAATGAAGTGATTTCGTCATTATTTTTGACGCTCTTTCGAACGCCGCCTTCCGCGTATCGCTACGTGGCCCGGGAGCCGAGTTACAAGGGGGGTGTTCAAACACCCCCCCCCCCCCCACAGCAGGGCGTGGAAATCCAGGACCCCCAGCCGGGCGCGGGTTAAACTCCTAATAAAAAAGAAATATGACCCTAAAGTATTAATAGAAAAACTGATTGTATACTCCGCTCCCGAAGGTTCACCATCAGTAATTGCCTGATGGAGGTCCAGGAGCAAAATATGCGACCAGGCTTTTTTATAAAGGAATGATTTTTTCCATTTTTTTATTATGAGGTCACTGGTTAGTTGTCTTCAATCATTTTTATAATGATCCGCGAGCAGAGTTTTTATCATCTTAGGTGCATCAAATTGGTTTATTACTGAGCGAGCGAAGCGAGCGTAGTCTTTCCTTAGATTAACGGAAATTTCTGAGTATGAGCGTGCGGACTAGAGATGTCAATCGGATACCAACTTTTTGGTATACCGAAACCAAACCGATACCAACTTGGTATTTGGTATTTCAATCCTAATGTGTTCGGTATTTTGTTGGTATCACGAACCCTCACCAATGTATAAGAGGCTAATAAATTGGTAAAAAGTTGGTATTTCCCTCATGTTCCCAAGCTGGTTCGGTTTCGGTATTTCCTCATCGTTTTGGTTGATATTTGGTTTGGTATCGGTATTACGATTTTCTGTAGTTGACATCACTAGTGCGGACGCTTTTGCGAGGCTTATATCTCAGCAACCACCTGACCGATTTACATGCGGTAATTTTTGTAGGGTAGCTTCATTCCTTCTACCAAGTATTGGACTATTCCTGATTCATGTGGGTGACCCCTTATGCACGTGCCACGTGCAAAACGAAGAGGTGTCCGTTTTGTAACAATTGAAATATCTCGGTAACTACTGGGCCGATTGCGCTGAAAGTTGGCGTGTATGTATAGGCAAGGCACCCACTAGGCAATGCATATTCATGTGCCACAGTTGGGGTGCTGCTGCACGTGCGTCGTGCGCACGTGTAGGGGTCGATTCCAGAGCTCGAGAACGGCTGAACCGATTGCGCTGAAATTTGGTACATGGTTAGCCCGCGCCCTGCTAGGGGGTGTTTAAACACCCCCCCCCCCTTGTGTTTTTTCGCGAATACCTCAAAAACGGCGGCGCTCTGCGCCGCCGTTTTGGTCGCGAATTGTATCTAACAGTGTTTCACAAATAACTTTTGATAGAGGCATGCCAAAGCGATGAAAACGCCTTAGATGTGTTCAGCTCGACGATACGGATCGACTGATATGCAACATGACCCTTTCCGGTCAGGTCATGACCTTGACCTGAGGTCAAATTTTCAAGTTGACCTTTCAAGGTCAATAATAGTTCATTCGATGCGACTTGACGAGAGGAACACGATGCCGGTAAAAGTAAGCTCGTTCAAGGCTTGGGTCAAAAGTTATTGCAGAAAAACTGTTTCCGAAAAAATCGGCTATTTTTGCAGTTTTTGCCCCCTGCAGGCAAAACCGTTGACGTTAGGTCAAATATGAAGCAATTGCTCAGAAAGGACGTCAATAGGGCTATCGAATGCGCTTTTCCGCGGCGCTGTAGCTCTATTGGTTCCCGAGTTATGCGTTGGCTTCTTGGAAATTGTCGACATTCGACCTGGAAATCGGCAAAATGTTGCCTTTAATGACCTCTGGTGACCTGACCTTTGACCTGACCAAAAAATTGACAGAAGTGATTTCGTCATTATTTTTGTCGCTCTTTCGAACGCCGCCTTCCGCGTATCGCTGCGTGGCCCAGGAGCCGAGTTAGAAGGGGGGGGGGGTGTTCAGACACCCCCCCCCCCCCAGCAGGGCGTGGAAATCCAGGACCCCCAGCCGGGCGCGGGTTAACCCGGCAGGCGGTGGGCCTCCCGGCCACCTTCCGCGCGGTGGGGGGGGGGGGGCATTTTTGCCCCCCGTATCTCCGAAACTACTGGACGGATCCGGAAAATTCAAACGGCGTTCGATAGCCCTGCAAATTTGTCGAAGGAAACCAAATTTCATTGACCTCGGGGTCACCGATGACGTCACAGGTCAGGTCAAAGATAAAATGTTTCACCGTTCACGGGGCTTCTAGGGAAAGCGCTATAACACCGAGTAAAACGCATTTTGTCGAAAATCAGCGATAAGGCGTCAGTTGTCTAGTACATATGTTGCTATTAGAGGTCACTGGTCATACCAGATCAGGTCACAGGTCAGGTCACCAAAGGTCACCAAGGGTCACCAGTACCACATGAACCTAACTTTACTAAGGTTGTGCGATGCATGTTTTATGGCCAGTTTTTCATTTCCAACTCAATAGTGTTGGTTATAAGACCATCAGGTACGGTTTAGGTCACTTTCTGGTGGAGGTCAGGTCAAGGTCAGGTCAAAAAAAGGTAAAATTTCAAAGTTGATATTTTTGCATAAAATGGGTATGGATTCGATGCAGCTCGTCACGGGGAGTCTAATGGTGGTCTTTGTTTTGCGCTAAGGTCTAGAATTGATCCAAATTGAGTTTGAAAATTTGACGTCATCAATTTTGAACAGTTTTTTCGCTATAACTTGGCCAAAAAAGAGGCATCGATCTCAAATTTGGTATGTAGATAGAAGGCGGTAGGGACTATCACATAGATTCCGTTTTTTTTTCGAAATTCAAAAAACTTTTTGGATTTTTTGGCTATTACATTCAAAAAATCTATTTTTTTATTTTTGGGGGTCAAAATCCAAAAATTCGAAAAACCGAAATAGCAGTTTTGTAGCACTCTTGATTCCACGCCTTTTATGTCTGAAACATTTTTCTGTATCTCTAAAGCTGTAGGCCTGACAGCTCTTCCCGCGAAACCTTTTTTTGGGTCGAAAATGGCAGAAATGACGTCACTCTGACGTCATTAGCGGCCGACCTATCATAGTCTTTGGGAAAAAATTGGTCACCATGTGCGCTAGCTACTCCCGGAAGGGTACTGAAAGTTTGGTGACGATCGGCGCAGCGGTTCTCGAGATAAATCGAAAAAACTAAAGGGGGCAAAAAAATGCCCCCCCCCCCACCGCCTGGAAGGTTAAGGACCGATTAGTAGGGTCCCGTGCAAAAGTCAGTTGGGACCCAGTTGGCACGTGCGCACGTGCAGGGTGCTGCTTTCAGATCTCGAGAACGGCTAGGCCGATTGCGCTCAAATTTGGCACATCGCTAGGGACCGGTTAGTAGGGTGCAGTGCACAAGTTAGTTGGAGGTACCCCTCGCAATTTCGCACGTGCAAGGCCCGCCCTTTCACTCGCTCCGTTGGTCGCCCCAAAAGGCGTTTTACTGGTCTTTATCTTTTATTTTTCGTTTATCGGTTCATTATTACACGTCGAAACAAAACATCGCACAGTTACACAACCATAACATTATCACAAAGGTACAGCTCAGTTTAGACATCACAAATCAACGTCCGAACTGATTGCTGGTGGCCTGGTTGTTGGCGAACTGGGTATTTCCGAACAGTCCGATGCTCTGTCCGGCGGTGCTACCGGCGCTGTTCAGCGAGGCACCGCCACCGAAAGCAGAACCCTGGAAAAAGGCGCATTGCACGTTAATGACTTGAACGTTCGAACGTTGTACGTTGTTGCTGTGGACCGTATTTGGTAAAAATACCAATGACAGAATTAGACAATTATCAAATAAGAGTAGAAAAGACATTGCTGCATCATATTATCTTAGATTTTAGGTTTAAAGCAAATACAACTTACCCCGGCACTGGCAAAGCTGTTCTGAACCTGACTGTTACCGAGGAGGCCACTGGACTGTCCCTGGAAAGAACCAGAGTTGGCTCCTCCAGTGGCGCTGCCAAATCCAGGGAATCCAAACTGGGGCTTGGCAGCGACGGCCACCAGCAGGCAGGCGAGAACGACGGCAACCTTCATGACGGAAGTCTGGAAAACAGAGACGGTTACAACGGTTAAAAGGGAGCTGAAATGAGAAACATGAGCCAATAATGGACTCGACACATCGCTGAATGAAGACAATGACAAGATGAAGAGGCATGTCACTGAATTTTTGCGAAGGTAATTGCACTGCAACCGATATCCACTTGAAAAAAATATATGTAGATTCGTATGCTGATGGCTCGATATAGGCTACCTGTACGTTGGCCAGCAAACACCGTATTGGTAAGCACTTTGTATTAGTAAATATTTTGCCAACTTCACTCACCGTTACGCTGTGAGCGTCTACACAACGGTTTGAGCTTGCACTGAGTGATGACAGTCGCCGCTCGGGGGTGTTCTTATATCCAGCCGGTAAGCCGTGGCGGAAAGTCCATGTGTTCGGAACCCGTCTGCCGGCTCCCAGAATCGTGTAGTAGGGGCCTCCGCGCGAATTATTGCGCGGGATTTGTGTTATGCGATTATTGTGTTGAAATTAGTCAGATTGAATCTGCGGGAATTGTTTCCATGGTTCTTTGTAATCCTGGAAAATCCAGTAAAATTATCAAAGTCATGCTACACACGTGGGAAATGAACTGAAGTGAATCAATAGATGTATAGCATAGTGGATCCTAGATAGTGTATACGAATAATTACTGAACGAGTTCAGCAGTGCCCAAGTGGGGATATAGGTAAAAAACAGCCACGGGCTGACCTCCTTCGGCATTTTGTCCGTCACCGGATGATGATTTTCTATCTCTCCCTAATGCTAGAGATTCTACATACTAAAGGCCGCCACACACTGGACCTCGCATGCGGGTTGCGAGTTTGCCGGTTTTGAGTTTGCAGGCATATTCATAGAGTGATTAGAGTGATTACTAATTCATAGAGTGATTAGACCGTACCCTTATGGTAACTTCATGAATACAGACACAGTGAAGCCGGTACACCTTATAGTCGCAAAACCAGCGCAACGAACCTGAATTCGACTCTAACGAAAAACCCGCAAACTTCGCACAACTTGCAGACTTCGCAGCGAGGAAGATCGGAAATTGACTGAAAATCCACTTTTTTAATAGGATTCAAGGTGGCTGGCAATCTAAAAAACATACAGACTCGCTTTTTAGATGTATAGTATAGTATGCTTTATAGTATGGGTCACTCAGCTTAGATTGTATGATTTGTTTTTGAAGAAACCCTAAAACCCAAAAACTCGCGACCCGCATGCGAGGTCCATTGTGGGGCGGCCTGAGTCAAAAACCATCGAGAACCTTTCCTGAATTCACTCACAAATGAACCTACCAAGCGTCGAATCGCAAGCTTCAAGCAGTTCCCGAAGAGTATTTTGGAGGAAAAAAAGATGTTTTCGTTCATGAAGAAAACAGAACCATCAGGCCAATTACCCAAATGTTGGGAAAGCCCTCTGGTAGAACTTCGCCGCGTACATTGTTGTTAGCTTACATTGTTGTTTTATCACTCGGGCTGCGCTCTCGCATAAATGAAATGATGTCTTGATGGACCTAAGCTTCCCACCAATGTATGTTTTCCTGTCTTTTACAAGCGTCAGAAGGGCACGTTTCAGTTCCACATCATCCTCTTACGTTGATGTGTTACCACGTCTGTTAGGGGCTCGAGACGAACCGTCAGCTGCATAAACGTGACAGCTTGAAATTTAGTGCATCTCGAAATCTCAGTGAGAAATTGGGAGATGCTTTGCCCAGTGCATGTCTTGGACGACGAATCCACTGGATTTAGAATTGTTCTTTTTAAATATTTTCTTCTCTATCGACTCAGATGCTAATCAACAGCCTGGTCATGTTGCCATTTTACTGAAGTTGGACCAACATCTAATCCTGATTTATCCGTTTGCTGTTAGCAAGATATTTGTTGGTGTGCAGTGGGCATTACATGAGCCGTTTTCACGAAGGCCATCTGGTACACATTTGGTGCAGATTAGGTGCAGATTTGGTGCAGATTTAATCATAATAGGCTCATTCCGTTTCTTAAAAGTAGTCAGTCTTGGTCGCACAGATGCTTGTACACCTCATTTTTCAAATTTTTAGACATTTCTTTCGATTAAAACGCTTAAATTTAACCCTCGCCGGCCGAGGGGGGGGGGGGGGGGGGCGGGTGCCGCCCCCCCCCCCATAGGGTTTTTTCGCGATAGCTCCGTACACGCTGGCGATAGAGAGCTGAAACTTGGCATACCTGACCTTTGATTCAAGCCGGATCTTTTGACACCAACCGCATTTTTGGGTCAGGTCAGGTCACTGACCTATGACGTCATAAGTGAACCCCTGCACGGTCTTCAGATGTCGCAACTTCGCAACGCCCTCACTGCCAGAGGAGATGTCACAGGGAAATGAAACTTGCAGGATCTAGTATCCATTATGAGTCTCACAACTTGTATATCTCGGATTTTTCATAAAGGTCATATGAGGTCAGGTCATTTTCGTGACCTCACCATTATAACCCTGGCATGTGTAGGGGGGTCGGATGGACCCCCCCCCCATGGTTTTTCGCGAATAACTCGCGTAAAAAGCGGCCGATCGTGACGAAACTTTCAGTACCCTCACATTGATCAATTTTACACCTACCCTGAAAATTTCATGACCCTGACCCAAATGACCTTTGACCTGTGACCTCTTTTCCGAGACCATGTTTGGCCCGAATCGCGATTCTGCGTATGTCGGCTCGCATTAGCCGCGCGTTTGCAAGCTTTTCGTGGTTTCAAACGCTCAAACATGTGATTTGATGTTGCTTCCATGCATTAGGGTGGGTGTCAAGGTCACCTGAAGGTCAGGTCAGGTCATTGACCTTTGGTCGGGTGACCTCGGTTCACTTTTTCGAGATGTACATGTTTCTAGGCTAGTTTTTGGAGCTGAATTCGAATTTAGCAACCATTTGAACATTTACGAAGTAGTTTTGACTTTTGGTGCCTTCGTAACATGTTACAAAGCTGTCAGAGGCGGTTGACACGTACTACGAATACCCGTCACGACGCCTACTGGTTGACCTGACCTGACCTGACCCGACCTGGTCTAAATGCTTAAAGACATCATCTGTGATCAAAACTAACACGATATTCGTGATCAGCACCCCGAAAAACCCCTTAGCAGCCACACTTTACGACTTTCTAACAGGTCCCGATTTTCCCGACTTTGGGTCATCGACCTGACCTGGAAGGTCAACCAATGACCTAGGACCTTAAAATTGGGTATCATCGGCTTCCTCTCGTCACGGGCAACACGCTCGTTTTTTTCCGCGAAGCTCTAGCTCGATCAGGGGCCAAACGGCAAGGGGGGGGGGGGTCCAACCGACCCCCCCCCCCCCCTACACATTAGAAGCTGGCAAACGCCGCACACATGCGAGGGATAAGTCAATGGGGAAAAATGAAAACTGCTATTCTGGCGCCGGGAACGATCTCCAACTATCTCAAGCACACAGAATCGTGATTTGATGCACTCCTTGCAAGGCTATATGCGTCACTTTTGCAATGTTGACCTTGCGTGACTTCATTTATGACGTCATCAAGGTCATATTAGTTTTTCGTCAATAACTCCCGATCAAATTGAGCTAGCGAGTGGGGAAAGCCACCAATGGACTCAGGAAGACCTACCAAATCGAATGATATGCGACATGACCTCTTTCGAACAACTTCGTGACCTGGGGGTGCTGACCTGACCTTGACCTGAGGTCAACACCCTAAGTTGACCTCTCCCAAACAAAAAGTATATCATTCGACGCGCCTAAGCGAGACGAACACGATGCTGCCAACATCGTGGCTCTGCGGCCATTTTTTGCGAAGTTATTTACCAAAAACTGAACCGTACCTTGGGGCACTTGACCTGACCTCAGAGGTCACCGGTACCTAGGACCTTAAAATCGGGTACCAATCTCTGAGTCTCGTAACGGCGCACACGCTCGTTTTTTCCGCGTCGCGCTAGCTCCACCAGGGGCGAAACGGCGAGGGGGGTCGTACCCGCCTCCCCCCCCCCTCGGCCGGCGCGTATGTAGAAAACCAATAGGTCCGGCGAGGGTTAAATTCATGATATGAATATATTTGTTGTAAAAGAGATTTGCTGCAGATTTGGTCAAATTAGGTACATTCTCTAGAAAGTCCGTCGTGAAAACAGCTTAGCCGACTCTTATGTTCCGAAAAAATATCCAATCGTACAAAAACCTCGTCTGCTGGCTGGGTTTGGGTTCATACACAGACCAGACGGTTTAAATGCATGGATTTCTACAGTTTATCACAGAGATTAACTACATCGTCAGCGTTTGAGGGCAGTGGTGGCCAGGGTTTCCCCGCTACATAGAATTCGTCAAACATATCCCGTTAATCCTCCGTCACAGCTGACAAATCAACATTGTTCTATAAATGACGTCACCAGCCGTCGGTATTCTGCGTAGGAATTCTCGTAGCATAAGCAGGCCCACGTTGTCATAACAAGTTTGACTGGTTGTAGCGCGGGAAACCCTGCAGCATGACGACTATATGTATAACCGCGGCTGGCACCAGAGTGGTCATTCAGTCGAGACCTGAGCTAGTACAGCACCGTCCGCAAATAAAGGTAAGCAGCATATCCGACATCATATTAAACATTGGTAGTTCAACTACCAAATCCGTCTAAAGGCTGCTTCAAAGGCATCTACATATATTACATGTTACAATATATCTGAGTACTTTATCCATCGCTCGATTTTTCCGGTTTTGGATTGGCTTAGCACTGCTCAATTAGGTGTTTTATTTGGTTTAAATGTGTATACTTTTGAAACACTTCCATTTTTCACCTTCATGTAACTCATAGATCATTCAATGTAACTGAATATCTTACGTTTCCCCTCCCCAGAAACGAGACTCCAACATGAAGGTCGCCGTTGTTCTCACCTGCCTGCTGGTGGCCGTCGCTGCCAAGCCCCAGTTCGGCAGATTTGGAAGTTTCGGTGGATTTGGCAGTGCCAGGGGAAGCGCCAACTCTGGATCCACTCAGGGACAGTCCGGTGGACCCTTTGGAAACAGCCAGATTCAGAACAGCTTCGCTAACGCACAGGTGAGCTTCATTCGGATATCGTTCTATCCTTCAAGTTTCAATATGCAAAATATGTAACTGTGAGTGCAGGTCAATAAGCTCGATGCATTACCCAAGGTACCATTATGCACATCCTTGTTAAATATCATTGCCGCGGCTTAGGTATTTGCAGGACCGTGCGGCAAGAAAAATAAACGTCCTTCGAATCTTGACAAGCCATTCCGTTTTTCCAGGGTTCTGCTTTTGGGCGCGGCGCTTCTTTCAACAGCGCCGGCAGCAACGTTGGACAGAGCACAGGACTCTTCGGAAACCGTCAGTTCGCCAACAACCGGGCGACCAGCAACCAGTTCGGACGCTAACCCGAACCTTTCATAGATAAATACATTGATAATTGTTTGAAGAATTGTGCATAAATCATCATGACATCATTATTTTTGTTGGAACTACCCATGCAACTACCCATGCATTGAATGTGAAATATATTCAAATTACAAACCCAATACAAAAGGCTCTTAGATTTGAAACGTAGAGGAGAAATGTGTGCGGGGAAGACTATATTATTCAGCAGTATGTAGTGCCGGTTTTGCATGCCGTCTGCATCGCTTTAATTGTGAGAGGCATACATATGCCCCAAGACTATTTTATCAACTACGTTAGATGGAATGATTCCAAAAATCATCGACATCGGAAATATCGCAAAAAAAGAGAATTGTTTCAATGTCATAATTCACTACCATCGGTGTTAAAGGCTCCTGGGGTAATTAGATGAACTTTGAATTGAAACTTCGACGATTTTTTCTTCACAAATTCATCCAAATCTCATTAACCCTCGCCGGACCCATTGGTTTTCTACATACGCGCCGGCCGAGGGGGGAGGTGAGTGGGTGGGTGGGTGGCGGGTATGACCCCACCCCCTCGCCGTTTCGCCCTTGGTGGAGCTAGCGTGTCGCGGAAAAAACGAGCGTGAGCGCCGTTACGAGACGCAGAGATTGATACCCGATTTTAAGGTCCTAGGTCAATCGGTGACCTCTGATGTCAGTTGAAGTGCCGCAAGGTACGGTTCCGTTTTTGGTGAATAACTTCGCCAAAAACGGCCACAGAGCCGCGATTTTGGCAGCATCGTGTTCGCCTCGATCAGTCGCGTCATATGATATACTTTATGTTTGGGCGGGGTCAACTTAGGGTGTTGACCTCAGGTCACAGACAGGTCAGCGCCCCCAGGTCACGAAATTGGTCGTAGGAGGTCATGTCGCATATCATTCGATTCGGCAGGTCTTCCTGAGTCCATCGGTGGCTTTCCCAACTCGCTAGCTCAATTTGATCGGGAGTTATTGACGAAAAACTAATATGACCCTAATGACGTCATAAATGACGTCACGCAAGGTCAGCATTGCAAAAGTGACGCATGTAACCTTGCAAGGAGTGCATCAACACACGATTATGTGTGTTTGAGATAGTTTGAGATCGTTCCCGGCGCCAGAATAGCAGTTTTCATTTTTCCCCATTGACTTATAATGGTGAGGTCACGAAAATGACCTGACCTTATATGACCTTAAGGAAAAATCAGATATATACAAGTTGTGACACTCGTAATGGATATTAAATCCTGCAAGTTTCATTTCCCTGTGAAAGCTCCTCTGGCAGTGAGGGCGTTGCGAAGTTGCGATATCTGAAGACCGTGCAGAGGTTCACTTATGACGTCATAGGTCAGTGACCTGACCTGACCCGAAAATGCGGTTGGCTTCAAAAGATCCGGCTTGAATCAAAGGTCAAACATGTCACGTTTCAGCTCTTTATCGCCAGTGTGCTCGGAGCCATCGTGAAACAAACCCTATGGATAGATGGAGGGGGGGGGGCGGCACTCGCATCCCCCCCTCCCGTCGGCCGGCGGGTTAAATCCACATCTCATCATATAGCGTCGCAGAAGGGCCGAATCAAACGCTCTTCAATATCTAATCGTTTTCTTGGTCCTAAAGACGCTTTCAGAGGTAAGCAATTTTGCCTCTGGGTGGCAGAAACCGTCAAAATAAACGATTTTTGGGGAAGTTTTCATTGTTTACTGGCTATGCAATTATTTTGCCACTATCGCGTGTCTGTCGTCGAAACGCGTCAATTGTTCTCTACTTTGGCTTCATAGGATCAGCGTATGATAGTTTGACTAGGTCAAGGTCATATTCTAAAGGGAAGTTATATTGCATACCAGCAGATCCGTACTGTTGAGCTGAATACATTGTAGGTGCTGGTCTTGCCGCCAACAAAACTAATTGTTAGAAAATTCGGGGTCATGTGTTGACCTATAATGACATTTCAGATGACGAACTTAATATGTATAACTCAATGAAGTAACGGTTATCAGCTACATGCTGTCCATTGTCGATTCCCTATGAACGCATTTGGTAACTGGGGCATTCCACGATAGATCGTACCACTTTTTTCCAATTTGACACCCTCATCTCTCGGAATTTGACGAGAATTGGTCTCAGGGGTAATCAGGGGCTCTGAAGCCACCTGTAACAATTTCAGGCTTATCAGATAAGTATTTTTTGAGTTATGGTGTATAACATTTTTTGGATCTTGCTTTGCAGCGCTAAGTTTGGCGGGCTGTAACTCTAAGACGGATTATTCAAATGCCAAATGTTATATAACATTGAACTTGCAATGAAACAGAGATTAATATGTATTTTAGAAATTTCGAAAAATACGCTGTTTTTGATATATGACATATCGAGTTTTCTTTCATTTGTATTTTTTGGACTTTGGGACCAAATTTTTTTGAATTTTTATTTCTTAGAAAAAATATTTGGCTCATTGTTAAGAAGTATGCAAAAAATTAGGAAGGTTTTCTTCCTATAAATGTATTTATTTTACGTCACGATAACGGTTTCGAATAGTGATTTCGGGAGGGGAGCTTACAAATGGCGTGGTAAAGCTGCCTAGTGACATCACGGGTTACTGAAATTTCAATTCAAGTCTGAGTCATCTGAAAAAAGTGAAAAGAGGGTTCATTCAACCCTCTTTCCTATAAGCGCGATGGTGAAAAAGGCTGTTTGGTTCTGACATTGTTTTGGACGCCAATGACCATAGCTTTCCGAGATGAAAGCTACAGGACGCATACATGGTGTCCTCCAGAGGTCTCACAACTTGTATATCTGGGAATTTTTCAAGGTTACATGAGGTCAGGTCGGTCACGTGACATCACTGTTATAAATCAATGGGGAAATATAAAAACTGTTATTTTGGCGCCGAGAATGATCTAAAACTATCCCATGTACATGGTATCGTGATTTCATGCACTCCTTGTAAAGTCCAATGCTTTACTTTTGCATAATTAACCTTGCGTGACGTCATTTATGACGTCACTAGGGTCGTACGAGTTTTTCGTCAATAACTCCCGATCAAATGGAGCTAGAGAGTCGGGAAAGCCACCAATGGACTCGGGAAGACCTTCCGAATCGAATGATATGCCATATGATACCCTTTGCCCAGCTTCGTGACCTGAGGGGCTCTGACCTGACCTTGACCCAAGGTCAACTACTTAAGTTGACCTCACCCTAGCAAAAAGTATACCATTCGATGCACCTGAGCTAGGCGAACACAATGATGCCAAAATCGCGGCTCTTCGGCCATTTTTTTGCGAAGTTATTTACTAAAAACCGAACCCGTAACTTCAGTCACGTGACCTGACCTCAGACGCTACCGATTAACCTGAGACCTTAAAATCGGGTATCAATCGCTGCGACTTGTAACGGCACACACGCTCGTTTTTTCCGCGAGGCTCTAGCTCTATTAGAAGCGAAACGGCGTGCTGGGGTCGTATCAACCCCTCCGAAACTCATTTTGTTTGCGGGAAAATGAGGAACTTATAGAAAGAACACCTTTCTAATTTTTTGCATGTCGATTTGCAATGACATGAAGATTATTTTGAAAAAATAAAAATGTGAAAAATTTTGGTCCCAAAAGTCATTAGAGGCAAATGAAAAAAGATTAAGGTTTTTGCTCAACAATGAAATTTTTTCTTTGGAATTTTTAAATAGTAATATTAATTTTTGATTCATCGCAAGCTTAGTGTTGTTTACTTTTTGTTGGTTGCTTAACCCGTTCTTGAGTTATAGGCCATCAAACTCACCGTTACATACCGAAGTTAAAAAATGTAATGCAATATAACTCAAAAAGTTTTGATCTGAGAAGTCTGATATTTTGCCAGGCGTCTTTGGGGCCTATGATTACCCCTAGGACCGATTTTCATTAAAATCTGAGAGATGAGGGTGACGGGCCTGGTACGATCTATCGTGGAATGCCCCAACTTCATCGTTCACATGAACATGTCAGCCTTCTAACCCGCGCCCTGCTGGGGGGGGGGGGGGGTGTTTGAACACCCCCCTTGTGGTTTTTCGCGAATACCTCAAAAACAGCGGCGCGGTGCGCCGCCGTTTTTGGTACACCTTATCATACATCAATTCTACACATGTTGTGAAAATTTCAGACCAAGGTCATTCAAAGTCAGGTCACCAGGTCACTTGAAGTGACCTCACCTCATAAAAAGTTTCAATGTCTGTCAAAGCTACACCGAGTGACCGATCGCTTTGAAACTTTCAGCGATTGCTAAGAGCAATAGCATGTACAAAATGTTTATCTCAGAATTTTGATATCGATGACCTAAGGTCAGGTCAATTTTGCGACCTCCCCATTATAAGTCAATGGGAGAAAATTGAAATGCGCCTCTTTTTGACGAAGGGCATTATAAACACTCCCAAACACTGAATTACAAGTGGTTTAGACACACTGAACATGAAAAAGGTGTCTGTGGCCCCTGTTTATGCCCTGAGGTCATCTTAGGTCACGAATGGTATCTAACAGTTTTTCGCAAATAACGTTTGATAGAGGCATGCTAGAGCGATGAAAACGCCTTAGATGTGTTCAGCTCGACGATACGGATCGACTGATATGCAACATGACCCTTCCCGGTCAGGTCATGACCTTGACCTGAGGTCAAATTTTCAAGTTGACCTTTAAAGGTCATGTTATAGTTCATTCGACGCGTCTTGACGAGAGGAACACGATACCGGTAAAAGTAAGCTCGTACAAGGCTTGGGTCAAAAGTTATTGCAGAAAAACTATTTTAGAAAAAATCGGCTATTTTTGCAGTTTTTGCCCCCTGCAGGCAAAACCGTTGACGTTAGGTCAACTCTGAGAAAATTACGCAGAAAGGGCGTTAATAGGGCTATCGAATGCGCTTTTCCGCGGCGCTGTAGCTTTATTGGTTCCCGAGTTATGCGTTGGCTTCTTGGAAGTTTTCGACATTCGACCTGGAAATCGGCGAAATTTTGCCTTCAATGACCTCTGGTGACCTGACCTTTGACCTGACCAAAAAATTGAACCAAGTGATTTCGTCATTATTTTTGACGCTCTTTCGAACGCCGCCTTCGGCGTATCGCTACGTAGCCCAGGAGCCGAGTTAGAAGGGGGGGGGTGTTTGAACACCCGCCCCCCCCCCCCCCAGCAGGGCGTGGAAATCCAGGACCCC